ATTATTATGTGATGAAAAGAGTACATTGATGGTAGAAAATTTAGTCATTTCACAAGAGAAGCACAATAAGGTTTTCCTTAGTTTCAGAGGAGAAGACATTATTTTGTATAATTTAATTAGAATATTAACTTAATTAATTAAAGAATTTGTTTAGTCTATTTTTTAAGGATATAAATTAAGCTTGTAATAAATACTCCTTCTATTTAATTTTAATAGACTTAATTTTTAACTTCGAGCAGTCAAATTTAATTATTTAAATTTTCTTTTAAAATATTATTTAATGTATTTATTTTTAAAAAATAATTGTAATATATATTAAACAATAAATCTTAATTAAGTGATATTTAATTAGGGATAAATATGAAATTTTATTAATAGATTATTGCATCTCAATTTTATTTAAGAAAAACTAGATATATTAAAATTGAATAGATGGAGTATATCTTTTTCGAAAATGCTTTAGTTATAATAATACGTGATATTATAAGTTTACAACATAATGTGTCGTTACATAATTAACTCTTATTTTTTAAGGGTTCACTTATAATATTATATGCATTTACTTGTTTAATATAATATTATACTAATTTTTACATGTCATGATTATAAACCTACAATTCTATATGGCATTGTAATTATAGTATTACCATATCTTTTTATAATCAATTTAAATTAAAACACAAAATTTAATTTATATTTTAATACTATAATAAATTGAAACACAAAATTTAATTTATATTTTAATACTATAATCATGTGAACAAATTTAATTGAAAAATTGATTAAATCAAATTCAACATTTATACTCCCTCTGATCTCATTTAGTTGTCCAACTTTTCGAATAATGATAGTCTAATTTAGTTGTTCCATTTCTTTATTTTAATAAAACATTAAATGCTAATATTTCAATTTTAATTACTCTCATCTAAAAAAAGGTAGAAATGAGTTAGGATTTTTTGTTTAACAACAATATTATAGTTACAATATCACGTAGTGTAAAAAATATGAAAATGTATATTTAAAATATGTTCAACCATTGATATGTGTGAAATTATGAGTTTAAGAATTGTATTTTTATACAAGTAATTTTATAAATATTCATTATCTTAATTGTGTAATGTTTGATGATTGAAGGTTTGATGATTAAGTGGAAAGGATTAAAAAAAAAGGATTTAAATGCAAATAGTAAAAAAGATAAGGGTTCAATGATTAAATCTTGAAGTTTCAAAACTCAAATGAGATTTTTTCCATTTTTGACAAAGGATCACATTGTGTGAGGTCAAAGTGTCAACGAGATGTTGGAACCTGCCTTTAGTTTCCAACCTCTAATCATGCAAAAAGAAGCATAGTGGAGTGTTGAGAGTTGCACCCCATTTCCAGGTTCTAACCCCTGCTCAACACATGCATAAGAGATAGAAGTATGCAGGGTTCTGCACCTTAATTTGAGGTTCCAACCCATGTGCAATTGGAATGTGCAGAAATAAACGAAAAAACATAAATTCATTATTTAGGATTGTTATCTTAATTATTAAACACT